AAAAAAAAAAAAAAATGCTGTAACAATGCTTGTTTGTAAGATCTCAGAGTAGTTGTTTTAGCTGCTTGATGTTGCATAATCCGCCTGCCCAGGATTGGATTTTACTTTACTCATCGGGTGGGTGGGTGTCTGTGTGTGTGTGTGTGTGTGTGCGCGCGCACGTGAGTGTGCGCACACATGTGCACACCCACGGGGTCATTTTGGTGGACAGTGTCTAGTAAACCACTTCCCGACAGCTTTATACTGGGCGTGGGAAGACTGGATTAGATAGAGATTAATTAGTCTCCGAAGAGCCCTCTGTCTCGTGGAGCTTCTGTGAACGCCTTGCCAGGCCTGGGGATTTGTAGCACATCCCTGGGAAACCACTGCCCTTGGGGCCAGGTGAGCCGCAGGTGGGGCGGGCAGGGCCAGGAGGACCGTGATTTGGCACCACGGAGATGAGGGGACAGAGCTCCTGAGGCCTCCGGGCTGTCGGGTCAGCACCTGGCATTGCCCGTCGAGTGCCCACTGTGTGCCCAGCACCCGCCCTGTGCACAGAGCCCCAAAGACACCTGGGAGACGGGTCCTCGTCCGCGTGGTCACCTCCAGGGAGCTACTCCTGTGTTCTTTCTGTCCCGACTCTGTTTTCCTCTTACAACCCCCCCCCAGCCCCAGCCCATGAACCATACCCATGGGGCTTCTCTCACAACCTCAGCGCGGCCTGAAAACCAAATGGGTGGAGTTAACTCATCTGAGATGCTCCCAGCAGCCTGAGGTCACCTGCCCTCCCCGAATGTCCATTGTATTGGCTGCGGGGGCTCGTGTGTGAAGAGTCTGGGTGTGCGAAGGGCGTTTTGAAGGCCAGGGGGGTACGTAACCTGTGAGCGGGTGGTACCAAGGGGCGCCCCCACCGTGAGGGGGAAAGGCTTGGAGGATGGCGGGAGCCCTCGTTAGAGGGCTGGGTTAGCCCAGAGGCCTGGGGGAAGCCGGAAGTAGGGGCCACTCAGTAAACTCCCCACCCCTCCACCAGGACCCAGAAGGAACTCGAAAAGGCCACGACAAAAATCCAGGAGTATTACAACAGACTCTGCCAGGAGGTGACGAACCGGGAGAAGAATGACCAGAAGATGCTCGCGGACCTGGATGACCTGAATAGAACCAAGCAGTACCTGGAGGAGAGGCTGATCGAGCTGCTCAGGTGAGAGCGTGGGGCGAGCAGCTGTCTGCCCCTCCCTCCCCCGCCCCGAGCTGGGTTTCTCTGTAAAGAAAGGTAGCTGTTCTCGAAAGGTCTGTTCGCGGGAAGGGGGCCCGTGTCCGTCTGTGCTGTGTTGTTAAGGCCTCCCACACGGACAGGGGCTGCTTGGGCCCTCGGCAGCCTCGTACGAGCGGATTTCACCGTTCCCACCAGGGCTCAGCTGAGTCTGTGTTGTCACACTGCCGGGGAATCATTTTTCAAATCTCTGTGTGCGTAGCCACAAGAGTGACGGCAAGTGCCGTCGCGTATCCTGGGGAATCTGTCCATCCCCTTGCCCCTCTTTCACGAGCCCTTTTCCCCTTCTGCGTCCCACCTTTCCCCAGTGCCGGGCCTCCCAAACTCCTACACCTGCAGGTGGCATCGCAAGTGTGGGCCCCGGAGGACACACGTGCTCTGCTCCTGCTGCTTGGTGCCGCACAGGCATCGGGCCCAGCCTGCCACATCACCTCCCCTCTGAAGAAAAGGTGCAAGCCCGGACTTTCACGTGAAACTGGCCTGCCTGTTCAAGTTGGCGAGAGTGGTTCAAAACCGTTTTTTTTCTTGTTTATATTTTTCTGTTTTTTTAAGTTTATTTACTTATGTTGAGAGACAGAAAGGGAGAGACCGCACGAGCTGGGGAGGGGCAGAGAGAGGGAGAGAGAGTCTCAAGCAGGCTCCACGCTATGAGCGCAGAGCCCGATGTGGGGCCTGATCTCACGAACCACGAGATAATGACCTGAGCCGAAACCAAGAGTCAGAAGACGCTCAACCAACTGGGACACCCAGGCGCCCCTAAACTCTTAACTTTCTCATATGGAAATTTGCAGATGTACAACAACAGGCCAGCACAGTGCACCCCAAGTACCTGCCCCCTGCTTCAGCGTCCTTCACCTCGTGGCCAGTCTTGTTTCATCCAGAGACCCACCGTGTCCCTCACCTCCCCAGATTATCTTGATGCAGATTCCAGATGTATTATTTCATCTCCAAATGTTTCAGTACGTGCTTCTCTTAAGACAAGGACTCTCCATTTTGTGCCACCACGGTGTCATCGCCGTGCTTAAAAATTAACCGTGGTTCCCAGTATTATTAAGCATCTAGTCAGTTTCGTGTTTTTCCTATTTTCTTTCCTTACGTTGTTTTCTAATGAGAATCTGGATCCATACGTTGCATGGCGAGATGTTAGATCTCTCTCACTTAGTCTGTGATTTGGCCACTGTGTCTCTAACTTTTTTTTTTCTTCGCAATTTACTTTTGAGGAAGCTAGGTCTTTCGTCCGGTAGAGTTTCCCACAGCCTGGATTTTGCCAGTTGTGTCTCCATGGCACCACGTAACATGTTCTCCCAATCTTTGTTATTTCTTGTGAATTGTTAGCCGAAACCAGAGCCGTGATTCTCCACCCTACGTGCACATTACAGTCACTAGGGGAGCTGTTAAAGTGATACCCACGTCCAGACCCTACCCAGTCCAACCAAACTGGAATTTCTGGGAGCGGGGCCCAGGGATCAGTGAGCCAGAGTGGAGAACCACTGCTCTACTAGAGGCTGGCTCAGACCCAGATTCAAAATGTTCTCAAGAACGCCTCATAGAATTGGTTTATAGTTTGGGTCTTTCCTTCAGGAGCCCACGTAAGATCTGATTAGCCCGTTCTTTGCGATGTTCGCAGCCTAAAAGCACTGCCTAAATCTGCCAATTCATTTGGGGTTGCAAAATGGTGACACTAAATTCCGCCTGATCTGGAAATGTAAAACCTCTGCCCACGTATCATCGATTTGCAGATTTGGGACTCAGGGCACTCAAGACCTGTGAGCTCAGTCATGTTCTTGAGGCGTGTGATGGAGAAGCCCGAGTCCTGACTGCGTTCCCGCATTTCAGGGAGTGGGTCCCTGGCCTCCTGGGGACAGAAGGGATGGGCTGTGGACCCGCGGGGAGGGTGATGCCGGTCCAGGGCATGAGTCTTCCTGCTTCCTGACCGCAGCAGGCACCTGAAGAGCCTGTCAGTTGCATTCCCTGGCTTTTGTATTTAAGGGGAGAGTCTGTGGCCTTGGAGTCCATTTCTGGTGGTGGCATCAGTTTGTCACTGGACCTCAGTGGCTCTAGTGTTACTCTTTGGGACTGAGGTGCTGTCGGGGCTGCCTTGACCTTGGGATGGTGGCCGGGGTTCCATCTAGGAAAGAACGAAACCTTCCCAGGTCAGAAACTGTAATAGCAGCAACACGGAAACCTCTGTGTGCATCTGCCCTGTGTGTCAGGCATGTTCTGACACCTGCCAGACCTTTCTGGAAAGCTTCCCTGTGCTTCCAGTCTTGCTTCCCGGAGCGCATAGCGTCTCCCTGAGGAGTAAGGGAAAGTAACATCCCATCAGGCTTTCCGGCGAGGATGCTTTCGTCTTCTCCAACGATTACTTGTTACTTGAGGAGACCATAAACACATAAGGGTTTCTGAATACATGTACGATTCATGTGGGCAGTACATTCAAGGTCCTTGGGCTCGGAGCACGCCGTGTGTCCTATAATTATGACAGCCTGTTACACCTTAAACTCCAGGTGACCGTGTACAGCGTCGTTTAGATCCCTGAGCAGTGTGTGACCCGTGCGGGTGCTGGCAGCTCTTTGCGGTCGCCGGCACCCCGTACGTGCATCACGGTCCCCTCTGCCTGCACACACGTGCCGTCAGCTGAGTCTGAGACCGATGCAGGGGACAGACGAGTGTTTCCAAGTGGAGTGAATCTTCCTTCCACGTCTTGGGAAATTTGCACTCAGTCTTCGGACGTGATTCCGGGATCACCCTGCTGTTGTCATGGATTCCTCTCTGATTCTGATGTGGCTCTGTCCCAGGGACAAGGATGCTCTCTGGCAAAAGTCAGACGCCCTGGAGTTCCAGCAGAAGCTCAGCGCTGAGGAGAGGTGGCTCGGGGACGCGGAGGCCAGCCACTGTCATGACTGCAAGCGGGAGTTCAGCTGGATGGTGCGGAGGCACCACTGCAGGTCAGCGGGGTGGGGCGCAGGCGCCGCTGTGTGTCTGGGAGGAGCACGTGGCCGTCCGGTCTTCGGGGAGCCAGGCGCGGGTCCTGGCGGGCCGCGCAGGGATCCCTGAAGGGGGCGGAGGTCGGGTGCAGGGGCGCGGGCAGAGTCAAGGGGACCCACCCGGCTGTGGAGCAGCCAGAGAGCAGCAGCTGTCGGCCTCCCTCAGGCTGCGGGGACCAGAGGGAAAGCGGCGTTCCTGGAGCCCAGGGAGAGCAGGGGCTGAGGCTTTGCTGGGAGAACACAGACAGCAAAGACCCTCTTGGGGCCCGAGGAAGGGTAGGCAGATTTATTCCTATAAATCTCAGCGGGGGCCAAGGCAGATAGAAAGTCATCAGCACGGCCCCGGGTGGGTCTGTGGCCCCTCAGAGCCTCTGAACCCCCACGTCAGTGTGTCCCAGAAGGTGGGCTCAGCCACGTACCCCGTCCCCTGCCTCCCGGCACCTGGGGAAATAAAACGTCGCCTCCCAGTGGGCTTGTCAGGATGGCTTCAGCCGGCATCTCACCAAACTGACCGCGAGGCCACGTTCCTGAGTTGGGGCGGAGCCCCGCCCGAGGAGCCGTGTGGCCTCCAGAGCCCGGTTCTGGTGCCGGGCAGACCACGAGGCCCGCGGTGCGGCGTCCTCACGGCCCGTGCTTGTTTCACCCCAGGATCTGTGGCCGCATCTTCTGTTACTACTGCTGCAACAACTACGTCCTGACCAAGCACGGCGGCAAGAAGGAGCGCTGCTGCAGGGCCTGCTTCCGCAAGTTCAGTGACGGCCCCGGCTCCCCCGACAGCGCCAGCTCGGGCACCAGCCAGGGAGAGCCCAGCCCTGCGCTGTCGCCGGCCCCAGGCCGCGCCGGGCCCCAGGCCGCCGGAGGCCAAGGTCAGGCTCCCGCCCCTGCCCTCCCCGCCCCCGTGGCTGCTCAGCTTGATTCAGTGTTTTCCAGACCCGGGCGTTAAAGGGGCGCCAAAAATGTATTGCACCAATTTGAGACTTTCCGTTTTTATGTAGTTAGGATAGAAAGAGAATTGAAAGGTGAATAACTTTCTCCTGATACGATTCAGCGTTATTTATCGCGAGGTCCGTGTACTTCGTAACTCAGTGTGCTACCAGTGGGACGTCCCCCACACCGTGGAAAATACTGCCTCCGGAGCCTCGGCCCCAAGAACCCCGCCCTCCCAGCGGAGCAGCCACGGGCCCGGAGCTGCGTGGAAACGACCACATCCTTCACCTTCTCCCTGTGGCTCGCGCCACGGCAGGCCGAGGAGGACGCGTTCTCCCGCGCCCTCTCACTGCGCTCGGGGAGAGGAAGTGGGATCCGGTTCCCGCTGGCCCTGCTCCCAGCACAGCCCCGCCGGGCGGGCCAGGCTGCCCTCTCGGCACTGCCCTGGGGATACAGACTAGCAGCGAGGCAGGCCTGACACGGGCAGGGGCAGGAGCGAGGCTGGGCCCGGCTCAGGCAGCACCGTCTCCCGCGGCTGGTCCCTCTGGGCTCCTCCTTGGCCTCTGCCTGGGCGCAGGTCAGCCAGCCTTCCGAGATCCCGTGAGTTCCCCTCTTGTTTAACTGGACCATCAAGGAGGTTGGCAGGCCCCGTTCTGTATATTGGGTACGAAGAACCGCGTCGAGTTGGCAGGATGCACCGTGAACACAGCCTTCCTCAAACAGTATCTTCCTCAAACGCGTTTTTCATTCTTTTTTATCAAGTTTTGGGAGTCCTGTATAGATTCTGGGTAGAACTTACTTAATAGATCTGTTTCACAGATTCCTTTTTCCCAACCAGAAACCCGTCTTTTCACCTTTCAAAGAGCGGAAACGTTTTCCAAAACACGGAAGGTTGGAATTCTCACGAAGTCCAATCCATCAATTTTTTTTTGCCTTATGGATCAATTTTTTTCTTATCTTTTGGGATCATATCTATCTTTGCTTACCCTAAGGACACAAAGATCTCCTGGTTTGTTTGTTTTTCCTAGAAATTTCACGGTTTTAGGTCTGTGATCCATTCTGAATTGATTTTGGTGTATGCTACAGGCCACATGTAGAGATTCATTTTTTTGCATATGGCTGTCCAGTGTTTCCACCGCCATTGGTTAACAAGTCCGTTCTCATAGAACTGCCTTTGCACCATTTTCTAAAATCAATTGCTCTTATGTATGTGGGTCTGTATCCGGACTTTCTGACCCATCCCATGTATCCATGTGCCTTCTCTTTCACCAATACCGCACTGTTGAGATCACCATGGTGTTCTAATGAGTCTTCAAATCAGGTAGAGCGGGTCCCCTCTAGTTTTGTTCTTTATCAGAATGTTGGCTATTCTAGGTGTTTTGCATATCCATGTAAATTTTATTTTATTTCTTTTTAACTTAAACTCCAGTTAGCTGACTAGACGTATAGGTTAGCATTGGTTTCAGGAGTAGAATTTAGTGATTCATCACCTACATATAATACCCAGTGCTCATCCCAACAGGTGCCCTCCTTAATGCCCACCACATCCCGCCCCCCCACCTCCCCTCCAGCAACCCTCAGTCTTTCTCTGTATGTAAGAGTCTCTTATGGTCTGCCTCCCTCTGTGTTTTTATTTTTCCTAAGTTCATCTGTTTTGTTTCTTAAATTCCATGGATGAGTGAAATCGTATGATACTTGTCTTTCACGGACTGACTTACTTTGCTTAGCATAACGCAGTCGAGTTCCTCCGTGTTGTTGCAGATGGCAAGATTTCATTCTTTTCGATCGCCAAGTGATACCCTGTCGTATGTGTGTATACACACACATACACACACACGCATCTTCCCTATCCATTCATCAGTCGATGGACACTTGGGCTCTTCCCGTAATGTGGCCGTTGTTGGTGGCACTGCTATAAACATTGGGGTAGATGTGCTCCTTCAAGTTGGCACTCGTATAACCTTTGGATAAATGCCCAGTAGTGTAATTGCCGAGTCATAGGGTAGTTCTGTTTTCAGTTTCTTGAGGAACCTCCATCCTGTTCTGCAGAGCGGCTGCACCAGCTTGCATTCCCACCAACAGTGCAAGAGGCTTCCCCTTTCTCCGCATCCTCACCAACAGCTGTCGTTTCGTGAGTTAATTTTAGCCATTCTGACAGGTGTGAGGTGGCATCTGTCTCATTGTGATTTTGATTTGTATTTTCCTGATGTTGAGCATGTTTTCATGTGTCTGTTAAGCTATCTGGATGTCTTCTCTGGCAAAGTGTTTCTTCATGCCTTCTGCCCGTTTCTTCACTGGATTATTTGCTTTTTGGGTGTTGAGTTTGACAAGTTCTTTATAGGTTTTGGATACTCCCCCTTTAGGAGATATGTCGCTTGCAGATATCCTCTCCCATTCATTCCATCGGTTGCCTCGTTTTGTTGATAGTTTCCCTCACTGTAGACAAGCTTTTTATCTTGATGAGGTCTCAATAGTTCATTTTTTGCTTTTGTTTTCCTTGCCCCTGGAGACATGTCTAGTAAGAAGTTGCTGAGGCTGAGGTCAAAGAGGTTGCTGTCTGTTTTGTCCTGTGGGATTTTGATGGTTTCCTGTACCCGTGTAAATTTTAGAATTTAGTTTGTCAGCTTCTACAAGAAATCCTGCTGAAATTTTGACTGAGATGTGCTTTCTAGATCACGTCGAAGAGAATTGACATGTTAACAAAATTGAGTCTTCCAACAAGTGAACATGTATAGCTCTCCACTTGGTTAAGTCTTCTTTGATTTCTCTCAGTGAATCTCCCTCGTTTGGGGCACCTGGTGCTCACTGTCCCTTCCTTTGTCATCCTCCTTCCTTCCCTCTACCAGCCTCAGAAGGCAGATTCAGAAGTGTGACTGGGTCTATGGAAGGAAACCAGTCTCTGGTCTCCTTCTTCAGCCTGTGTCTCAAGCCCCACGTCCTGCTCTTCCTAGAGCGTGGCCTGTCCCACTAGCCCTGTGGTGGAGCCGGCTGGAAACTCGGAGCTCTCGTGAACTGTTCTTGCTAAACAGTCCAGGAATCTCCCCTGCCCTGATTCACAGGCAGGTGTTCCAGTGATGACAGAGGGTGGCACTGTGCCAGAGTCCCGAGGTCACTTGTTTTGATTTCTGACATTTCCTGTCTCCTTGTCTATCTGCATTTCTTTCTGTCTTTCCTTTTTTTCTATCTTCCCTTCTGCCTGCCTTTCTTTCGCCTCAGGCCTGCCGTCACATTTTCCATGCTGTATGCAGGAGCGTGCGTGTGGGTAGGTGGCCGGCACAGGAATGTCCATACGGCGTCCCTCCTACTGAGTGGCCTGCAAAGTCAGACACAAATCCCCCAGTCAGAAGCACAGCGGTCACTGCCACCTCGGGCAGAGGGAGGGTCTTTCCCATCCCCCAGTGGATGGAGATGGAAACACAGGATCCAGATAGAATCTTGGTTTCAAAGGAGGCATAAATAAGTCGTGTCTGTGTCTTCGGGAGCAAGGACTCAGCAGCAGAGAAGTGTGTTTACTTTTCTGTTAGGTTCTTTCCTGATGAGGTTTTGACAGGTTTTTTTGTTTGTTTGTTTCTGAATAAGAGGCCTCAGAGAATATGTAAGGGCTTGAATCTCTTTAAGACCTGACTGAGGAGCTTCAGAGAAATCTCTTAATTCATGTGTTCAGCTTCCCTGTAGGCTCCACTTTCTGGAATGTCTCAGCAGCCATTTCTCTCCCATCTAGACAGAGTAGCTGTGGGTTGAGCGGGCACTTAGAGCGTGTCCCGGTGGCCCATCCCGCACAGTTACAGCCCCTCACCTCCCGGCGTCCCCTCCCCATCCTGTGCGTAACTGCGTGTGTCTCTTCTCTCCCCACCCGCCTCTGTGGCCCAGGTGTAGACGCGGACTGCAGGCCGCCGGACGATGCCGCGTTTGACATCATCACCGATGAGGAGCTGTGCCAGATTCAGGAGTCGGGCTCCTCGCCTGAGACACCCACCGAAACTGACTCCCTCGACCCTAACATGCCCGAACAGTGAGTAGACCTCACCTTTACTTCCTGTGTGCTCACTGGGTGTCGGGCCCTTGTGCCCCTGATTAAAGGACCAGGAAAGTGAGACTTTGGAAGCAGGATCGGCTGTCTTTGCTTAAGGGAAGGCGCCTCAGAACAGTGCTCGGGACAGTTCTGGACACTGGAAGTTCCAGGTCAGGGTCCTGGGCTTGCAGATGGCCACCCACCCACTGCCTCTTCACCCGGTTGCCCCGCCGTGCACGTGCATCCCTCGTGTCTCTCTGTGTCCTGCTAGTCCGTTGGTACTTACTCTCCACCAGTCTTCTCGTTTTTCCAGGCCAGCTGTTTTCCAACCAGGTTTGCGAGGAGAGTTTTGCAAAGGCTAATTTTTAAATAATATGAGATAACCTCACGAAGTGCCACCGTGTTTCAGTGTCAAGAGTTTATGCCAAGGGGACCCACAGGAAAAGGTCAGGCCCCCCCACCCCCCACGGCAGCCCTGCTCGGCGTCTCTCAGCCCCTGGTATCGGGCTTAAATGTGGTTTCTGCAGCAAAGCACAGACTGCTCCAAAGCCAAGAAAGAATTTATATGGCCCCCCCTGGGTCCAGGCATTTCTCGACCCACTTTCCCTCCAGTTAGGGAGTTTCGTGATGCACCTGGCCAATACCCACATTCACATCTCTGCCCTTCTCTTCCTGCCCAGGATTCAGAGGAGGGCTAGGATTAATCAGCCAGGATTTCTGCCGTGCAGGAGATGTATTGAATCCTCACGGAGCACTCAGTGCCAGAAATTTTAGGCTTACGTGTATCCCTCCGCACTCCCCTGTTCTCTGACTAGAGGGTGACCAAACGCTCGTGTTGTAGCCTCATGGAGAGAGCCCACAGGATCACCCAGCCCATCAGCCCCTGTGCAGTGCTGCTTCCGCGGCTTTGGGCCTTGCCTTTCCCTTCCTGGAACCCCCGCCTCCTGAAGTGCCCCTGACCCCACAGCCTGCAGTGTTCTCCCAAGGGCACTGAGCCACGGAGCCGCCATCACCTGGCAACTGTACTCCCCGCCAGGTGGGTAGGTGGTGAGGTGAGCAGGACTGGGGCCTCCAGACCTGGGAGGACGGCCTTTGGCTGTCGCCTGCAGGAGAGAGTGACCCCCTGCAGCTCCCTCTTTCCCTCGCCCCTCACCTTCCCCTCTGCCAGTAAGAACAGAAACAGAAGGCGCTCTGACTGCTGACAAATACCTGTGTTTCGGTCCCGGGAAATCAGGAAGTGTCCCAGGGAAAGGAAACCACCAGTGCGCTGGCCCGCGGCCCCTAGGGTGGATCTGGGCCTGGCAGTCGGGAGCCTGCGGTCCCTGCGGCCTCTGCTACTCAGCTAAGGGCCTGCACCCTCACACGCCATCTCTATGCATCAGAGAAGACCCAAGTGTCTCTGGTAGCTTTGTCGTACATTCTTTTTCTTCCTAAGACCGATCAGAAACGCCAGGACCCTGAAAAAGTGCGGGCGGTAAGCCTGGATTTGCGTAAGCCTCCCTGATGGGAAACTTCGAGAAAGAAATCAGCAAGTCCAAAGTAAGGAGTGATCCGGAAGGGATTGAACACCGGGTGTGTCCAAATCCACAGAGGAAAGAAGGCTGCTTGGAAGCCATGTTGTCGAAAGCCACTCTGCCGGGCACCTTCCTGCGCCGGCCGCCTCTGTGTGTGGCCTCGCTCGGTCCCTGCCCAACCCCTGAGGCTTAGGGATTACGGTCCTCATTTTACAGGTAAAGCTGCTGAAGCCTCGGGAGGCCAGATAAGCCACTCCAGGGCACGGGGTTGTAAGTGTCAGCACTAGGCTTTGAGCCCAGAACCCCTCCCTCTGTCCACAGGCTTGAGGTTCATTCCAAAGAGTTCATTTCTCTTCTCAGGGCCCCACTTCCCCATGTACACATCAGAAGCCTGTGCTCTGCCTCCCGCCCTGCAACGTATACACATCCTGCGGGCAACGAAGTTGTCTGCCTCGCCCTTCCTGGCAGTGAGGGGACAGGCAGAGGTCCCCACACCCCTGAGCAGCCTCCCACTGGCCCCCACCGATGGGAAACAGAAGCACAGCCCCTTCCCTGGGGAGAAAAGATGGCGTTCTTCAGAGCCCTCCAGACGGGCCTATCCGCACCCGCTCCCCACACTCAGCCGAGCTCCCGCTCGGCCTTCTCCAGGGACCAGGTGTCCTTCTGTGCTCGGCACCGAGGGGGCAGGCGGACGGAGATGGAGAGAAAGCTCTCATCAGCCCGTCGCAGGGCTGGGCCTTGGGTCTCTCGGCCTCCGCTCTGCTTCCACCCCGGCCTGGCCTCCCCTTCTGGTCACGAGACGAACGGGCCATACGGCCGTGAAGAGCTTGATCTCCAGAATCCGACACCTGGTCGGAGCGTAAGCTGCCACCTCCAGGTTCCGTGGACTGGGGGTACCGCAGCCTCCCGAACTCAGTGCCCTCCCCTAGGAGAGATGGGGACCGTCCCCCTCTGGGACCGGCAGGAAGATTCGATGAGAAGGGTGTGTGTAAAGCGCCGAGCCTGGTGCCTGGCGCCTGGGAGGCCTCCCGTGGAGGCGCCTCATTTCTGTGATGTCCCGCGTGCGTTGTGATGCCAGGCGCTGAGCCGGGCCCGTCTCCTGCTTGCGCCTGGTACCCCAGTATTTCTCCAAGGAAAACCTCTCCCGGTGCCCAGTGACGCTGAGCTAAAGTCGTCGAGACTGTCCCTGACCGTCGGGGCACCTTTGCCAGTAATCGCTTTGTAACTAACTGGTACTTCCCGGTCAGAGTGCTTTGCTGGGGGGCTGGGGTCGGTTGATCACTGGCCGGGAGATGGGACGCCTGTATCTCAGACACAAAACGAGAACAGGATACGGTAGTGACCGTGAAGGCAAAAAGCCACCTTGTGCTCGGGTTAGCCCAGCGTTCTCCCCCTTCGTGAGGAGGACGGAGCTGGCGGGTACCTTGAGCGCATCCGCTGCAGGAAACCTCTGTTGGCCAACGCTTGGGGGCAGAGAAAGAGGCTGTTCACCGGAGTCCTAGCCCTGGCTGTGCCGGGTGAGCTTTGGCGGGTCTTAATCTCTCTGAACTAGTTTCCTCACCTGAAGCATGGGGACGAGCGCGCCAGGCCTCGCGCGGCTCGGTGTTGGGAGTCCCCAGGGACCGTGGAGGACCGGGCTCATGAAAGAGGCACCGCCTGGGGCGCCCCTTGGGGGAGGAGGTCAGAGCGACCGCTGCCTCCACTCCTGGACCCCGCCAGCAGGGGAGGCTTCAGCCGTTCTCTCCCGCAGCACCAACCCCTCCGTCCGGAATGCTCACTGAGATCACCTGGGCTTCTGGCTCCCGGGCGGCCCCTGGAATCGGGGTCACCCCATGTTCACCACCCGTCCGTGCGGCCACGCGGGACCGCTAACGGCCCTGAAGTGTCGGAGACATGGCGAGGGAGTAGCTTGCCCGCGGACCCCGAGGCCGCGCTCGAGGCAGCCTGGCCCACCCTTCTACAGCCCCCGTTCCCACCTGCGCCCCATCGCGTGCTGCTGCGTGTGAGCACAGTCAGGGGAGGGGCAGAGCAGGACCGAGGCCGGGAACTTGCGCCCCGTGGGGCTGTTGTGTGGACAGAACGAAGTCACGTCGTCAGAGGCCTCCGCTCCCGACGCGGGCTGTGCCGGCCTCTGTTGCCAGCACTGCCCTGTACCCAGGGGAGGGCTGGGAAGAGTCCCGACTCTCAGGCGTAGCAGATGAGAGTCCAGAGGAGTATAGGGCCAGTGAGTGAGAACACACAGAAGGTAAAGGAAGATTCTGCTGCCGTGCCATTCCTGGGTTTTCCTAAGCCTTAGAAGGACGCACACGGCCTTTTTGCGAGGAGCCTGGAGAGAGGGCATATAACCCAGGCCTGGGGCGGGGCGGGGTGCGGCCTGACGGGTGCCTGGTCTGGTTTGCCTCAGCCCGGCAGGCGCCTGGTTGGGGAGAGCCCAGTGGCCCCGTTGCCTCGGCCAGGCAGCCCCCAGCTTGGTCCCCACGGTGCGCCATCCGGGCCTCACGGGCACTCCTGGACGGAGGGCCGCCCTCAGCCGGTGGTGCGGATGGTGAACTGGGCCCTAGGAGGCCGAGCACCTCATCCCGGGACGCACAGGGCCGGAGCCCTGCTCTGCCCGTCACGCCACACGGCTGCGGGGTCCCCGGTTACGGCTTCTTCACGTCCTCCTTTCCAGGCAGGGCCTCCGTCTCTCGTTCTGGGGAAGCGAGGGGCCGGGGGCCCCTCCATCAGAAGTGCTAACCCTTGAGATGAATGCACAAAGGAG